CCCCCCATTCCTCCCCGCGAAAGCACGGCGTCTCAGAGGGTTTTGCTCTCTACCTTTTTATCTTCTGCTAAAATGCTGTAAAATGGTACAGAACGAGAAAAAAAAAAGCTGGCGTGTGAGCCGCCAGTTTGATCTCGGGCCAGTTCCCAAGCTTTTCATTAAAAAAAATGGGATTCTCTTCTCTTCCCTGGTGCAGTGAAAGTGGGAGGGTTGTTTATCACTGTGCCAGGAAGGAAGGAAGTCTTAACTCCAGATGAAGATTTTAAAGGTTAAATCTTCAGAAAGGGCCTTCACGTTATTGTTCAATATTTTGCATCTGTATCATATAGCTGGGTATTATCCTTCTATAGCCATGAACAGATTACAGTGGAAACCACAGATGAAAAGGTGATTCTGAAGCATATTGCATATCATCAAAGGGTTATTTATTAAACAAAAACCAAAAAAACAAATTAAGCTGTAGAGGGAGAAGCTTAATATTGGAACAATAATTACTAAATAACGAGCCAAAATAACCAAAGCAAAATAAACATTCTTCCAACACAGCATGCAGGACTGTGCAAAACCGACTGCAGAAAACTCTCTTGCACAAATCTACGACAAGACTGCAGACAGAACGTGCACTTTGCTCTACCTTTACTCTGGTGCTAATGATCCCAGAAACAATCACTACAAATAAAACTAATGCCCTCCCTTACCTCCATCCGGCACCTCTCATGATATAACTACTTTTCCACACAAACCTCTCTGCTTGAGAGCCGACATGACTCACAACTGTGCCACTCAGTAAAATTAATCATCCTGCTCTGCATTGTCCCACAGTGCATTCAGATTATTTCTTGAGATAGCATTGTCACAGGGAAACTGCCAAGCCAGCCTATCCCTGTGCTTACAGCTTTTGTCTTTCTGCATTTTAGGCTGCAACAGCGGATTAACAGCCCAGAGTATAAATTATCATCTCATAAGTAATTCTGGAGTCCCTGCTGGAAGCATTTTCTCTTTTTAGATTTGGCAGCGCTTTTCAGGGCAGGGAGCAGGAAGCCTCATGGATTACACTGGCCGTTTGTTCTGGTTTAGGAATGTAGCAGGAACTAGGGAGAGTGCTGCTATAAAGGGAGTCACACAGCCCACTCCAGCAGCAGGAACGCACTGGAAATTCATGAAATTCAGTGCATACTTGCATCAGTTTTGACAGTTCAAACCATTCGAGACAGGTTTCTTTTTAATTGCACACCTAAAGGCCTGTGCTGCTCAGAGTTATCCCCCCCAACACACAAACATCCACATCTGATTCCTCCTGGCAGTAATTGTGAGGATTGTCAGTCATTAACATTTATGCTCGTTGTTTGACTGCTCTATTCTAACATTATTCTATTTAAAAAAAAAAAAATCCTAATCCCTATGAAGTGCAGGACGAGAACGAAACTAAACACACAGAATTTGTCAGTGCTTTGTGCTAACCCAGCCCCGACTCCGGGAATGCTGTAATGCTGATGGTGCCTGGGAACCCTGCCAAGCTGACACACTTGGGCCTATCAACAAGAATGAGCACACAGCGGAGAGGGAGAGGCGGCAGCAGCCTCAGGAAAGGCCCAAGGTCCCCGGTCCTCTTGATTCGAGGAAATGGTGGCCCAAGTACAAAAGAAAAATGCACAAACCTTCAGTCATTAGCAAGAACAAAACACGGGAGAGCACATCAGGCACATAGAGCGCGTGTATCCAGGCTGCTCTGCTAAAACAGACAAAAGAATTCTGTCAGCAGTCAAAGGGGAAGCTTGAAATTCCCTTTACTCTCTTGTCCACACGCTTATTTTGCAGTGGGAGGTACAATTGTGGTTTAACAACAGACAGGTACAACTGGAAAATACAGATTTTTGTTTTAAGTCGCCATGATTGCACGTCCTGCTGCAGCTTGACCAATTCTTTTACATAGGGGAAGTGATTGGTTTTGGAGGGGGAAGGGAAAGAAAGCTAGAGAGAACAGAAAAGAGAGAGAAGGGAAGCTAAAAGCTTTATTAAAGCAGAAGGGAGGGTGTACATTAGATTAGCTTCCATTTATTCGTTTCAGTGCTTTGGAGATGTTAAGGGAAAACAGGGCTGTGAGGCAGGGGAGAAAAAAGGGCTAAACAGAGAAACCAAAGGAAAGATGGAAAGCACAAATTCAGTGGAAAGGAAATTAAAAGACAGCAATGTGAGAAGTACAGCCCACTATATTTAGAGTTCTTTGCGAAGAACTCTGCCCGCTGTGCAGCATTTCCAGAGGGCACACACACACATCAAGCACCACAGTGTCACAGGGGATTGTGCTGCAGAATATGTACTGAAAGCCTGCAAAATGAAACAAATACCAGTAAGGAAGAGGTCTGGCTCTGTGACAGAAATGAGGGGCTGATATGTCCCCCTCCCTAAAGGGGGTGAATCATCACTGACAGAGGGAACAGGAGGTGATGGACAAAAGACAGAGCATTTTGAACAGATACACAAATGGAAATGGGAAACGTCATCATTTCCAAGGATAAAAATAAATAAATAAAAACGGGGGAAAGAAGCTGCGTTAAAGGCTTGTGGCTTGCTCACGGATTTCCAGGTCATGGACTGATAACCCCAATTTCTAGAGGAAGAACATGAAATACTGTGATTCAGTGCCTTCCAAGAGCTTTTTTTTCTATTTTTCCCCTTTTATCCTGAATCAAAGTATCAGTAACTGCTTAAAGACCAGAAGCCTGCTGTCTGTTGGTACAGAATGCAACAATAGATGCCTATAAAAACAGCTCCCGAATTTTTAAGAATGGATGCTAAAAGAGTGGATGCTAAAATCAGTGACCTGTCAAAGAAGGTGGGTAATTTTGTAAATTATCAGAAACTACTGGAAAAGGTGTCCATGCACAGCAAGGCAGCTGATTTGCCCATGAGCTTAAAAGGCTTCATAGCCACATGCATGCACTGGCCCTTCAGAACAACAGCCCTGAGTACTTCTGGTTGACATTACTTGTTCTGGATTCCAATGGTCACTCATTGTCTGCAGATGGAAAGCTGATCTGGTTTGTACTCTACAAACTGAGTATCTGGTACGTTATGAAAGTTTCTCTCCACAGCCATTTTTAGCGTGCTGGGCGATTGCCTCACGTAGGTTTCCTTCTAAAGGAAATCTCCATTCATGTTCAATCATCTGCCAAAAATACCTGGGGAAAATAAAAAAGAAAAGCATCTTTGAGCCCTTTAACAGCTGTAGCTTTTTAAAAGCTGATGTTATCCCAAGGCCTAAGCCCATATATTTCATCGCTTTCACCCCCACTTCGAGCCAGCCTCTCCACGATTAAACAGCTGGGCCGCTGAATATCCTGTATAAAACAGGATTTTCATTATTATGTATCTAAATTATATGTTCTGTATTAAAGGCCTAACAGATCTAATTTCTTTCATGTTTCATATGCAGGCAAATCCTTTCTCAGTTACCCAGAAAGCAGCTGTGAGGCACATGCAGACGTTCTGCACGTCACGCCTAAGGGACACCCACCGTGCAGGTGAACAGCACCTGTGCAGCAAGTGGATTTATCACCCCTGCTCTGGGAGAACACGAGTTCCAGCTCACTGCTCATGGAAGCTCTGTGGCCATGGGAATATAAATATCCTGCTCCAGACCAAATTACAGAACCCTGAGAGAAGTCTCACCAAGAGATTCTAATGCCCAAGTGTGAGACATCTTGTATATAGCACTTATTGTATCACAGGATCCTTCCCAAGAAAGCAAAAGAAAGTCACTGCTGTTAGGGAGCAGTTATTTAGGACTAGGCCTGGATAATGTTAAACTCTAATCCTACTACTATAATTTCTTTTTCTCTTCCAATATTTTCACATTCAGGAATTGGTTAGCAGTGATCAGATACGTGACTTTTTTCCTTGTTTTGGTCTGTTGTTACTGTTTGTTTTTTTAATAAAATCTGATGATCTCCCAGAAGGCTTCCCCAGCTAAAGGCCATACGAAATACGTGAAGTGATGGAGTTACAAAAATAAAGTTATTCATGCATATAAAAATAATATTATTATAGTAATTTTTCCTTTCCTAGGCTTATATCTTATCACAACCCACTGCAAATTCAATTCTCACTTTTAACCTCTTTCATACCCCTCCACACACTAAATTTGCAGTT